TTTGAAATGGTTGAAAGGTTTATTGTGACATATGATCGTTTAGGTATTCTCCTCGTCCAATTTTAGTTGTTCAGTCTTTCATGAAGTGCCCTAAACGCAGCATACATTATATTTTGTGCTCTCCATGCAAAATCCTTTTGTATATCAATGTTCTAAAATGTAGTAAACACGAAAAGACCACAGAGATCCTCAGACAAATGATAATGAAGTTGATGCCAGTAGTGGTATTTGAGTGTGAATGCATTTCAGTATAAGAAAACACTGGCACATGACAAAAATCTTTAAACATTTTTTTTAATAGTTTGCATATATTTGACACCAGAATTCCTGGAAATATATCTTAGCAAAGAAACAAAAAATAATAGAACATTTAGTTTCCAATGCTGCACACTTGATCAATATTGTGGAAAAAATATACAGTGCTGCAGTGCTTTCCACTGCTTCACACTCTCTTCATTCTTAAATAAAGCATCTCATTTATGTCTTATTGCATCTATGTTACTATCAAAGCTTGAGGCACTTGAACACTGGGATGCTTATTGGATGCAGAGGTAAAGCTTTAGAGTTCTGCTTTCCTATACACTATGCAATGAATACAGTGATAGCCATTATTGAAAAAAATATTGAGTTCCCACATGTGACATGAGTCCAACATTGTGATTCCAGTAACAATGCAGCTTCTGCTGCTCATTATATGCTGTATAAAATAACTAAACATCCAAATTAAACAGTTTAATTTACTAGTTGTCTGATGAACCCTCATATCAATAAAAATTCCATTCACTTTTGCCTTCTGTAGAGGATAAGGGCAACGTGTTAAAAATACTTCTGATTCAAGATTCACCCCTATAAAGGGAGGGGGGGGGGGGTAAGCGCAGACTTCATGCAAAGACGTTAGTTTTGCCCATACGCTTTGTAAGAGTGACTTTGATTAAAACATTCCCTCTCCTCATTACACAGACTTTTTGAAAAGCATGAATCCTCTGTACGAGTGGTCACATCCTTACAAGCACTGATTAGTTAGTTTTCAGAAGTACATCATCAATACAGTTTAGTGTTACCAAGAACATCTCAGTCAGTTAAAGGGACGTAAAAGGCTTGGCACATTGTGATTGCATTTTTATACTGGTTACAACTGTTTTAAGTTTGTAGCATGTTAAGGTGAAGAGAAAAAAGATCAAATGAGGTCCAGCAAAAGCATCAGCAGTCAGACTGAAAATGATCCATTTTGGTTTGATGTTGGAGCACACTGTTGTTACATAAAATAATTGAGTGTCAGTGGTACAAAGGACGGTCAACTGAACATATAACAACTACAGCCATGCTAGCTGTGAGGTACAGCACTTTTAGATGAATGAACACAACATGTCAAATAAGATAGAGGTGTAGCAATCCCCCCCTCTTTTTGTAAATATGATCACTTCTGACTCTTAAAAACAAGATGGCGACAATTAAAATACCAAAATGGAGGCTTCAAAAATGAATCCACAAACCAGTGCCTGTGGTCAAAGTGGCCATGCCCACTTCTTACATACATGCTTTAGTTTTGCAGGTATTTATTAATACAAAAGATGAAATTTGGCCTGATGGTGGCACTGGAGTAAAAGACAGGTTGTCACCATAGTTATTACAATGAGTGCTTCACGGCCGACACTGTCATCAGTGGAGCCCCACTGCTAGCGTGCAAAACAATAGCAATTGGTGAGTTACACATTTCTGTCTTTCTTTTCACTGTAACTGTGTTTACATTGATCCATTGTGTTTAAACCTATCAGTATACTGAATGAGGCTGGAGCATGACTGTATGTGGTGATGTCAGTGGAATTACAAATACTGTCATTCTGGAGAGATGACCTGTCAGTCACTGTGCTCAGGAAATGAAAAAGGCAGAGGGCCAACGTCACTGTCGGCAGTGTCTCTGTGAATCTGATGAAACTCAATTATAATAAACAGAAACAAAAGGGGCTGGGCATTTTGCCATATGATTACAGATTCTGACTGTGGAGAAGTGCAAAATGTTTGGCGCTTTTTACCTGTGATTTCAACATAAAGCATTGTGTTTTAGCTTATTTTCTTTTACCCTTTATAAAAAAATAAAACTATCTTGGATGGCTCATGCTGACCATTTCCCAATATTCTGTTTTTATACAGTTTCACCGTCAAGTTAAAGAGATATAAAACTGGCTTGAGTTTACGACAATCATCCAGGGGCCCGTTTCAGAAAGCAGGTTTAGTGTAAACTGAGTCAGTTAACCCCGAAATGAGGGAAACTCTGGGTTTTACGTTTCAGAAAGAGAGGTCACTATAGCCCGTTCCATAGAGGGAGGTAACTTTAGCTCTGGGTCAGTTACTATGGTAACAGAGTCTGTTAACGCAACCTGGTCGGGAGCAGGTTTTCTTCAACAAACCCTGTGTTCTTCCCTGTCTCCTCCCATTTAATTTCCTCATTCATTCAGTCTTTATCACGTGCGTATTACAGAATAAAAACCCTGGTAGTTTTAATATTATTTCGAGATGGTTAAAGTTCGAGGATCTCTTTTTTTGTCACCTGTTGCCATGGTGAATCGTAGTATAGGAGCTCCATTAATGTTGGCTTTTTATCCTCATGGTGCACGGCCTGAACACCGAGTGGACCTACTCAGAGTTGATTTAACAAACTTAAATCAGCTGTTCTGGAACCGAAATCTCAGAGTTTTAAATCAACTCAGAGCTCAGGGTTAGACTGAGAGTTTGTTGAACCTTCTTTCTAAAAACAGGCCCCTGCTCTGGTAGAAATCACCACCAGTGTTTGCGTTCTGGAAAAATAATAAATTAGCTTTAGAGTGGGAACATACTGAAGAGCATTAGGAGATTTAGTGTCTAAAAAGTGAAGTTTTAATATTCAAAAATCCTTTCTTTGATAAAAAAAAAAAAAACGTTTCACTTAAACTGAAACTACGCCTTTATTCTTGAAATGTAAAATTTGACATCTGCATTATTTCTTCATGTCTGACCTCATTACTCTTTTTTTTAAACAGTTTAATTTACTCAACTGAAATGTTTGCCTCCTTGTGCTTTAAATATTACGTAGCAACTTATAAAAACGTAGAATATCTCAAAGTGATGAGATGTTGTAACAAGGATTTATAGTCACAAATAAAAGTTACAAAATCGAGTCTTCAATGTGATGTTAGTGGATTCAAGCTGGTTACTTGGAAATGGTCAGCCGAGTTTTAAAGACACAGGTGTTGTCCTTCAATCATTTATGATTCCACATCTGGATCAGATATATGGGATATTCAATCCAGTAGTATTACAGTGTCGTCCCTGTTTTTCTTGTATAAGAATGCCTAAACTTACACAACAAAGAAACAGTAGTCATTATTCTCTCTACGAGCTTTCAGGATCAAACTGTTATTTGAAAGTGATGTAAAGGAAAGTCATGGACTGATTGATCTGTACTCTGGGATCTTTTGTGGCCTTCTCAAAAGATAATTTCATCAGCTGCAGTCCATGACAGTTTCACAAATACTCAGTAACTCTTTACAGAACGCCCTCCATTAACAGCAGACCCGTGACAGAGAGTAGTGTCATTCACTGAATTCATCATGCTAAAAATAATCATTGTAATAGTAAAAATGCATCTTGTAAAACATAGAATACATTTACAAATCAAAACTTTGCTAAGATAAAGCAATTTACAATTTGAAAATAATACATTCCAGTGGCATAAAGTCATATTAAATGAATTTCCATAAAGAAGCAGATAAGTAAAGTAATGGCACTGAATTGATTGAACCATTTTCTGTTCAGACGCAACTTAAAAAGTTTCAAATAATCTTTATGTAGATCTACAGTGTGAGTTTTACTTCTCTTCATTTTTAATCTGTTGCCAAATTAACTGACAACATTCAACTTAAAGGCCTGCGAGATAGATAACGGAGTGGAAGACTATTCACAGTTGACACGCAAGTAGCAGCAGAGGTGCTGGTTTGGGTTCAGTTTTATGTGTAAGTGTGTCGTTGACAGCAGATGTTTGAATGTAAAGTGTCCTGCAGGGTTTCCTCCCTTAATAACCTCTAATGTCTCCTCCTGAGTAACACAGTGAAGCCCTGCCTGCTCAGTCGCTACACACAGCTTTATCATACAACCTGAAGCAACATGCACGCAGTTCAGCTCAGCATGAACGAGTTAAACATGTGCACTGAAACATACTTTCAGATAAAGTGTTGTTTTTCTATACATCCAGAAGGCTAACTGCTAAAGCCTCATCTTGACTAAAAAAGTGTTTCCACAAAAAAAAAAAAGAGGAGTGGGAATTTTGTCACTTTTACAACATTAGAGACATGTGTCGCTTTTTAAGTTAACAAACATGAACGCTTTGAGTAGAGACTACCTGACAGTTCTAACGCTAATGAATAAGTGACCAAAGTAGTCCTGTGGAAATTAATCATCTCTGTGATTTGGCTTTGATTTATCTTTGCACGTATTTTATTTCTGCACCATTTCTCTGCGTTCCCCGATCGAGGCTGCATTGGCAATTATAGATGAAAGTTTTGACGGTCATTTTGTTGCATATTCTACAGCCTCATCTCTCTACATAGCCTGGACACAAATGAACAACAATAGAAAGCTTAAATATCTTTAAAAAAAAAAAGTCAAATCTAAAAAACAATTAGGTGAAGTAAAGGCAGAATTGTCTGTCAGACATGTCACTTCATGGACCAATATGTCACCCTGCAGCAGGATAAACATCTTTTATCCTAATCTAAAGACAGCAGGGGCCCCTAAGAGAATTAATGACAGGGGTAGCATTATCTGATCGGAGAGTGTGTGTGCTGACTGGTTCACCACATAACAACTCAAAATCCATAGAGACTTAAAGGTAAAAAATAAATTAAAATACAAGAAACTCAACATTTCGTACATGTTAGGGCACTTAGAAGGTTGTGTAATTAAAACTATTTAAAAAAATGATTTTACATAGCTTTCTGTCTTCCTTCATAATAATGTGTTGTGTCTAAGAAAAGACAGAACTGCAATGGCACAGTCTGTCTGGTAATGTGTTTATGAAATGCCTCAGGGCCACACGGACACTTTCCTCCTTGTCCCCTTCATCCCTCAGTATCTGTTTCATCCTCCTGCAGCTTCCTCTTTACATTATTTCATTAAAGCCTGCTCCTAGTGTGCATTCGTCCCTGTAAGTCCAACTGATTTGTTAGCACAGGCTGATATATAACATGTGTTCATAGCTTATTGATGGAAACAAAAGGGCCCAGTGTTAACAAGGAGTTAAGATTTTTTTAAACCCTTGGCCATTCTATTTTATTTAAACATATTTTTATGTTTACATATTTTGTTCTCTAAATGCTGACAGGTATAAAAAAAAAGTTCTGCTCCGGTGGACTGCTTCAGCCAGCAGTTATAAAATGGGCTGAAATGTCTGCAATGTTATCTCTACACCTGCTCCTTTTTTCTTACAAAGGAAGATGCTTCTTCATTTTTTTATTGGCTTACATTGCTCACTTCACAGTGATCAAACTCCAGTGACAAAAATGGAAATTTTGACATACAGAACACTGGAGTTTCTGGTCAAGAATCGTCCAATCTGCCAGTTTGTTTGTGTTCTTCACTCAGGCCCAGGTTTAAAAAGATCAGAAGTACCCCAAAGTACAGTTTCTGTCTGTCATGTCAGTATTAAGGTAAACCCTCTGAATTGATGTATACTATTAGTGGTGATAATGGGGTAGAAGAACAGCATAGTGTATATTATCACAACATGTGTCAAAGCACAACATTCATAATGTATTGGAGACTTAGTGGTTCTATTCCCACAGTGTTTGCAAGCAATTATGTGTGTGTGTGTGTGTGTGTGTGTGTGTGTGTGTGTGTGTGTGGTGTTAGAAAGCTGTGCTGGCCATGCTTCCTGGGGCGAAGAGTCTGGGCAAACTGTCCTGAGACGTCTCCACATGTCTGTGCGCCATCTTCCCCTCCTCGCCTGCTCAACAAAAGAAATGGAAGAACAACAAAACATGGAACGGATGAATAAAAAAAAAGAAAAAAGAATGAATGGATGTATGAATGAATCGTCTCAAGAGACGGTTATGTCCGATAAAGTGAAAAGCAGACAACAATAAAGGTGGATGTTTTTGATGATTTCTGCCTTAACCGTCTGTTAATGACAGAAATAAAGTACAGGAATGAATGGGATAAAAACAATGTGTATGAAAGATTATAGATAAGCAACAGTAAGAATTCATTAAAAAAAATTGTCATTTACGGTATTTTTTTAATAAACACAAGTTTAGGGCCTCGACTAACAACGGAATGAATTAAAGGACAAAGCGACAGCGTGATCAACTCAAAAACTCCTCAAAGGCAACTAATGCTAACTCAAAAAGAACACGAAGACAAATAATGTCATCAATCGGAATCGAGCATAGAATCTTTACATTAATGAACTTCATTGGGAGTTAATTTTAGATGAAGCAATTTGACTCCAGTTGTCAAAAAACACATGAAACAACATGAGCTGGGTGATCAATTAAGTTCTATTTTTTTATTTTGGTTTTCGGTTAAGAATTGTGTTTTTAAAAGAAAGTCTATCATCATTTGAACTTTTGGAACCACACAGTGTAGCTACCACTGCTTCTCTGAGCTGCAGGGACAAACATTTCTCTTCAGGTGCGGGTCAATCTGCACTGCCCTAGAGCTACTGTAAGGTAATAGGCCAGTTTGTTTTTTCCTCAAAAAGTGTCCTGGGCTGCTGGAAGGGGTTTTGTTTGTCTGACCTTGAAAAATCCCAGTTTGTCGTGAAGTTTCTTTTAAGAACACAGCAACTTAAAGTAGTCCCTCAACTACTTTATTCCAGAATCTCAGAGACATAAAACCAAGTAGCACAAGTCACAAAACTTTAAACACAGGCACTTAAAGTAGGTAATATATCCTGTACCCTAATTCTGTATTTATTCAAGTAAGAAGCACAACTCCTGCCAACTCTGTAGGAAGATATCATCACCATCACTGTCTTCTTAAAGCCAGCCTAACAGTTTATAAAGGTAATGTACAAGGTTTCACTGTCATTCTTACCAAGCACCAGCAGAGTCTGTTTGGCAGCTTCTCGGACTTCCTCTTTGTCCGTCCGACACAGATACACTAACTGATCGATGCTTTCTTTGGCCTGAAAGGAAAACAGAGTGGACATAGAGAGAGACGCCTTTTTATGGCTGTATTTCTTTACTTTATCACTTCCATGTCATACATTTAAACAATTTGTTGCTTCTGGTAAAATAATCGTTCACTTCTACTGAACATGTTAGAGTTTTCTGACAGGATTTAACAGCTTGTGATCAGAGAAAAGATTCTGTGTTTGTACCTTGAGACATGCTAAGGCTTTACATCCACAGACTCTGGTGTGCACACTGTCGTCTTCCAGCAGCTCCAAACAAATGACCAGCGCCTGAGGACGAGAATACACACATAGTTTACTGTTTGTATGAGGCTGCTGAGTGCTAACATGAACCGACTCATCACATGATGAAGACCTGGTCAACACTGCTGCCATGTGTGAGCATAACCATCAATCAATCAATATTATAAGCCTATTGTATTTGTGCTATTCTTCACAGGATATCAATGAACCTTTCAGTGGTTGTAAAAACATGTCGTATTCCTACCTGCTCTCTCTGTCTGGGCTGTGTATTCAGGCTTCTCAGCACAGAGCTGGCAGATGCTGATACTTTTCCTCGAGGGTCTTTCAGTAACTTGGCCACAGCGTGAAGTCCCTCCCTCCTCAGGCTGCATGATGCAGGTTGCCGCAGAGCGTGCACAATGACATCTGGCTCACATGACGCCAAGCTCTGCACCAGCCACACTGTTGGATGGATATTGTTACCGATTATTTTCTAACATTATTCTCGAAAATTCATCAGGCATTTGTATATGTGTGTGTTTTTGTGTGTTTTACCTTCTTCTGCCAACTCATTGACGTGTGTCTCCATGTCTGTGATGCTGTTGGCCTCCAGGTAACTCCACAGCTGGAACAGTGTCACCGTCACACTTGCTCTGTTGCCTTCTCGCCGTGGTAACCTCTGATCCAGCACCCGCTCAGCCGTACACAGGAACACTGAGCATACACATAAAATACAGGTTTTATTTTGATGCACAAACACTCACATGCACTTTACAGTTCTTACAAACACATGCTTTCATACCTGTGTCTGCCATGCTGCTGGCCCTCTGAGGCAGGTTGTTGGAGTAAAGGGTGGACAACGCAGAGAGGAAGCTCTCCGCAGAGACCCTGTACACGCTGCCCTGACCCACACACTGTTGCCATAGTAACACAGCGCCCAGACACTGGTCAAGCTGTGGTATCACTGCGAAGGAGAGGGAACAGATCAGAGAAGTTGTGTTTAATTATTTTATTTCAGATCAAGCTTGCTGACATTAACTTGGTTTTGTCTAAAAACTCGATCTCAGCTCAAAGGTTTAAAAATCAACTTCTCTGAGCGAATGATGCAACTGTTTCTGTGTTGTTGATGGACGTTCTGCCATGTCATGTGTACATAAAGAATAGCTGCTACTTTTAAAAAACTAATGTGGATCAAAATAAAACAACAAACAAACTGAGAGCTAAGAAAAAGCTAGCCTAAGTCAGAAACACCAAAATCAACGTACAAAATGAATCATCACTTTTACAGAACTGTTTTACTTTGCATGCACATAAATTCAGGAAAAAATGAACAGTATTCAAAATATATTTTTTTTTCTATAATGATGGCATTTCTCACAGTATTTTAATTTGGTAAAACTGAGAGTTGGAATTATTCAGATAATGATGGAAGCCCAAAGATACTACAGATGGCATTACGGTACATAACATGAGCTCGAACACAGTTTTGAACTGTTTCCATTTTAATTCAATCATCAGTTTGTTTTTTTAAATCATCAATGGACAGCATGTCAGGAGGGGTTACAAGCTAAGCTGTCGCGAGCTCTGTCAGTTTTTTTTTATAGGTTTGAAGAGCATAAATAAATATATGAAAATTTACTTTAATATAATTCAAATCTAGGTAAGCTGAGTTTCTACCCACTTCAGTTTGTTTTAAATAGCAAGCCACCTGCTGTGTGTACTTTATTCATTCCCAGTTTGTGACCCGTCGTACACATTGATCTCTACGCAGGTCTCTGAACACGTTTTCACTTTATCTTTCTATGGTCAGCAGCTGTTTGGCCCACATAAATGGCTTTTGAAAGGACAATGTAATGCTTCAAATATGACTGATGCTTCTCTCGATCTGGAGCTGATGGTCTGACATCGGAGGTGCACAAAGATAAAGAGACTCATGTCTTCACCTTCATTCGGCTGTCTCAGGTCCCGCGGGTTGTCCTTGGTGGCGCGTCGGATGATTTCAAGGACTCGAGCCTCTCTCAGCAGTCGGTCTAAGGCGTACATTTCTCCACATCGCAGAGGACCAAACGTACCCAAACGCTGCAGACAGAATGACATATATATATATTGTTTATCATGTACACAGAACAGATTCATTCTGGTGAATTATCTGAATTCAGTTTGATTTATTGTATTCTCACATAATATTTTAAATAAAACTAGCGTCTGTGCTTGAGGATATAGCTTTACGCCATGATTCTAATAAATCAACTGCTAAAGCTACCTTATTTTGTAAACAAGCCTGACTTTTCAATTACTGCATAAGTCTCTGTATTTAACCTCTACAGACATCCAATTTGTCTGTCAAATGAAATGTTAAGTGCACTGGTACCATTGGAATGAATGCATCAATTGAACATTTATGAACACAGCTGTGAAAATAATACTTCAGGACAATGTAAGAAGTCTCCTACCAGGAGCTGTGTGCAGCAGTTCTTCAGATGGACCACCAGGGAGCAGTCTAGAGTCATGCAGCCTGTTGTGAGAGGAGTGGAAGGGGAGGAGGGACTGTCCCGGCCTCTGTCCTGCAGAGACCTTGAAATATGTAGAAGGAGGAATTAATCCTTGAAGTTTTCTAACTGGAAGTAGCTTCTGAAAGCTCATATGAGTCTAGTTATTGAGGAGCAGTGTATTTGTGTTTTGATAAGCAGCACAGCAAATACAGACACACACGATGGCTGACAATAAAAATATGCCAAAATGATTTGATTAAGTACAATTGTGCAGTCTAGGATGGAATTCTTGGATTGACTGGGTATTTCCCTGATGACATTTTTTATTTTCTTCAAGTCTTTAATCATTCAATAGCTGCCAGTAGTTCTCACTGCAGCAAATAATCAACAGAAACAGAGTATCAGTACTACCCCACTCCACTAGATGGCAGCGTGATACTACAATCACAACAGGATCTAAAGCATCACTAGGACATGCCTTAACTTCACTGTTGTATGTGATTTTCTCTGACAGTTGTGTGAAAGTCATTTCTGAGTGAGTGGGAGACGTTTGGCTGATTTATTGCTTGATAAACCAAACACCCTGAGGAACTTTCACTTAATATGTCAAAGGATTTAGTTGGCTTTCAGTGTTTTCACCAACATTTAGTCTTGTGAGCACTGACCTCCCGTTCCTACTCCTCTTGTCGCTCTTTTCCTCTTCTTCCTCCTCCCAGTCAGACGTGTTGAGGAAGTCAAAGCTTCCCAGAGCTGTTTCCACCGTGAGGCTGACCACGCTGGGGGAACGGCTGTGCTTACCACCCTACACATACACAAGCACACGCACAGAAAGCAAAAGTCAAACAGTACACAAACACTGATGTATGCATGTCTTTGAACAGCATAGACAGTATTTACAAAGTGGAAATAGACACTGTATTTGTGCATTGAAAGAAATTAGTAGGAGTAAACCTTCGTTTCATCTCATTTCTAGCATGGGAGGGTTACTTTTTTCAGTTTAAATCTCTGAACAGTTCGTTTGATTCAACAGATTAGAATTTCTCATTCATTCAGGCTAACTGCACATGTTTTGGTACATGACTGCAAAATATTAAGTACCATTGTCTACAAATTTACACAATCATCACTCCTACCTACAGTACCTACTGACCCACTGATCAGTTGATTCTCAGTGAAACTGTCTCAACCCTCCACAGCTTCTTTTCTTCATCATTCGAGCCGTCACAAGAAAAATGATCCATTCATATATATTCTATAAATATCCATAACATGGGACGGTTGTGGTGTTTGCTAATTTTGAAAAATTAGCTGCCAACTGATCATAATGAACTAAGAAACACATGGGTGTCATTTTGTGGCAAATCGTCGGTATATGACTTTACATGAAAGACCAAAGGTGAATTTTCTGTGTGCAGTCCATGTAACACATAGTTACACGAAGAGATTTACTGCATAAAAACAATACCAACAAACTAACCAGTTGAGGCAGCAATAGACAAGAACCTCTGTGCTTCACAAGGTCAACAGAGTCTGCACCCTTAAAAACAGCAACGTTTTAGAGAAAAGCATATAACCCTTTCAAATCCACATGGATCCTTTCTTTAATGTTTTCAGACACTTCAAAAAACAATTTGAGCCTGTCAGTGGCAGAAACACACATGTATAGTTGAAGTACTTTGATCGAGTGCACCTGACTGAAGGATTACTTTACAGCCATCACAGCCTGTTTCATGCCACTGAATTTAAATACTTTTTGGCTTCTGCTACCTTTGAGAAAAATAGTGACCCTTTTCTCATACATACTCCAGCCTTACCTTCAGTGTAACCTGCAGGAGCTTCAGCTCTTGTTCCAGTATTTGTAACTCGGGGAACTGTCCTCTGTAATCATCCAGAGAGGAAACTACAGCTGCCAGAGCCTCCTCCAGCCCGCTGTCCACAGGACTTTCACTCTCTCCTGCACCTGAAATCTCCTCCTCCACCGCCACCCGCTGGGCAACATATGTTACATCTGTGCTCTCCGGCAGTGTGTTGCACTTTGTGTGTGAGTCTGTGTCTGTTTGCGAGTGAGTGGTAGAGTCCTCTCCTCCTGAGCTGGAAGAGGAGGGAGTTAGGAGAGAGCTGGATGCATCTTCCAGATGTTGATCTGCTACATTGTCAGCTGACTTGTCTTCATGGACAGCAATAAGTCTCTGCGGTGATGTTTCAGAAGAGCTGGGCTTCTCTGAAGTTCTGCTGTTCATCTCCATCTCAATGTCATTGACAGAGAGCACAGAGGCCAAAGACATCGCCTCCCCTGATTCCCCTGCTGACCTGTCAGTCAACACAATACCATCAGCACTGCTCTCACTAATGTGGCTCAGAGAGCGCGAGTAGTTACGAGAGGTGAGGCTTATTGTGGCTACTCCATCCTCTGTTTCTATGGGAGACTGTCGTCCTGCCTCGCCCTCCTCACTGGTAGGTTTTGTCCTCACAGTGACTGTCACCTTCTCTTCTCGCCTGTAAATCATTTTATACATCGAAGTTAATATATGTGCCAACACAGTGAAAAATCAGTCCATACGAATTTAGAAAACTGTTAACCCCTGAAAAAACTCTACCTGTCGCTGTCTGTGCGGTGTTTGTTGGAGATCTCGGCGGCTGCACTAACTCTGTTGGTGGAGATTGGAGTTGAGGTGGAGGAGTCTCGAAGGCAGAACGAGATTTCAGGCTGTGGGTAAGAACTTCCAGTTACAGCTGGCTGGACTTCTGGTGTCACCACTACCCCCTAGAGAATGACAGACACAGACACAGTGAAATATTTAAGGTGTACTGATAAAAAGGCATCAGTAGTGGCAGAGCAGTTAGGTCACGCCCCATGTACGGAGGCACCAAGTGTAAACGTGCTTTGAGTAAGACCAGAAAAGAGCTCAAGTCCGTTTACTATTTTACTTGTGTGCCTCCTATAAGTAAAAACAACACCAGGGTGATTGAACCATATTCAGTTTCTCTTTTACATAATGAATGACCAGTTCTATAAACACAGAAAAAAAATACAGAGGCACAGCTTATTTATATTTGTAAATATGAATACCTGCATTGAGAACCATGATTAAGCAGCATGCAGAGACGTACCAATGAGCATGTTTACACCGAGAGAACCAGCTTAGCAAGCAAAGATACTGATAGATAGCCAGAGAACGTAATTACATCACCATCAAAAGAGCACAAATACACAGACCATAGATAAGGTATTGTGTGTTTTGTGTGTTACCTTGTGATGTGTGTTGTCGCGTAGCCCGCCTACAGTTAGCTGAGGACTGGAGGAGTCATCAGAGGACTCCGATGAATTTGACCAGGCTGTTCCGTTCTCCAACTCTTCATGACGGCGGAGCATGTTCTAAAAGAGAGCGGCAGTGTTTTAAAGAGGCTGGACTCAAGAGAGATGAAGAAGATATGAACAGAAAGAGACGTTTGGTTAAATAGAGTCACTTATGTGAAAGTGCAGTTATCAGAAAAGAATCTTCCACTTAAAGCATTGCTGCAACCGGACCAGAACGCCAGTGCAGGGTCTTAGTGTAAGGTCAGTGTAGACTCATATGTGTGCAGTTTTTGTGGTTGACCAAACACTACAGTAGCTGATTTATGGTTCCTGCTCTCAAACAGGAAGAGACGAACAATACGTGAAGAGCTGTTAAGAAACCCTGCATACAACCTTCACGGCTTCATGAAGCAAGACACAAAAAAGGAGCCTGCTCTAGATTTCTAAGAGCTACACTATCACTACTGTCACTAGTACACTATCCAGTGGGCTCTGGGACGTTTTTCTGCATATTGACTTACTGCAGTAGGCTGCCTTGCTGGTGAGTTGTCACTACAGGAACAGCTCTGGCTAAGTGTGTCTCTGAAGATGTCCAGAAGTGGCCAGTGTTGCCGCCTGGTCAGACTCCGAGGCAGAGACTGCACGTCAGAGTGGCAGCAGGTGAAACAAAAAGTTACTGGGGAGTTGGGAAGCTGTGGTTTTCTGTCTAACTCTAATGTTTCCTGTATACAAACCATATGAAATCTCAACCATGTCTGCTGTTATTCCTCCTTAATGTCCCTGTTTCCACAGTTAGAAAGTGTCTTCCTACTTTAGTGTGTTCAAGAGCCTCAATCATGATGTGGAAAAAACATAGTAAATGTGTGTAAAAATGTATGCTTCTCCTCTTTTCAAACTGATATTCTTTTTTAAATGTGCACAAATTGCATGCACTTTTATGTATATCCAAAGTGGTCATTACTTTGTGGTCTGAAATGTTCTCATTTAGTTGTATGATAAGAGTATAACTTTATATAATATCATGTATTTCCCTTATCTATTCACCTACATTTAGATAAGGATAGTAAATATAAAAGCGAAATATTTGCACCAACGACTTAAGCCCAAAGTGTTCCAGTATCAGTCGTTTGAAAAACAAATAATCTGGAAGAAATAGGAGGAAATAAGAAGCAGCCAGAAGGAGGCAGCACTTACATAGAAGGCTTGTTCTCGTAAGGACGGCGTGTCAGGCGGACTCTGGTTGAAGATGGTTGAGAATCTCTTATTGACGCTTGGAGCTTTGTTGACGCTGCTCGCCACTGAGCCCTGGTCGTCTTTATCAAATGGACTGAATAGAGGAAAAAGAGGAATTGAGGAAGAGCGGGACAAAATTATAATTCGATGCAATATTTAATTCAATGTTCTTAAATCAAATTTTAGAGGTGAAATCAACAAACAGAACATTACTCATACAGATCATGACCATCTTGAATACAGTGAGGGTTTTAAAGCCGGGTGACAGATCTTTGTAGATACAGTGTTGTGAACTCCTTCATATTTTGTCTGTGCGGCAGCCTTAAACTGAATGAAGAAAGTTGTGTCCTCTTGAAAAGAGGAAAAAAAAGGATCCAAGGGGCACAAAAGTGATCTTGTGTTATTCAACTCCGCTGAGCTGTTTAGAGGTGTAAACTTCTGCAGGTGATTTTGGACTTGAATAAAACCTTTGAACACTGCTTGTTTCTAACTTCTAATCTTTGCTTAAAGAAAAAAAAACTATAACAATGCAAAAACTATAAGAAACTAACTATATTTTGTTTTTTGTAAGGCGTGGGTCAGTTAAGGATACTCTTTAAACCAGTAGCCATGTTGAACTTTACATCGCAACTCTGTTGACAGCATAATTGACACAACGTACTTCCAGCAGACTTCCAGGCTCAGCTTGATAGTCCCAAGGTCGTTTATATCCACAGCAACAGTCTGCGGCAGCGCAGCAAAAAGGTCCTTCGTCTCACAGGAAACATTTCCTACTACCACGTGATTGGCTAAGCTCTTCAGCTCTGTCACCTAGGAGACCACATAAATGTAGTTTAATCACACTATTAAACGACATCAGTATTTGTAATAATATTAATATCCAAACTGAACCATGTAGTGGTAGATGTGTGTGTGTGTGTGTGTGTGTGTGTGTGTGTGTGTGTGTGTGTGTGTGTGTGTGTGTGTGTGTGTGGTGTACATGAGGAGGACTGACCTTCACACAGAGGAACTCGCTGATGAGAGGCATGAACACCATCTCTTCACTGTCCCACACCTGCTTGCCATTGATTTCTATTCTGCCCCGGAGCTTCCACCGCTGCCGACCGTACCTCATAAAGATCTAAAGACACACACACACACACACACACACACACACACAGACACAGACACAGACACAGACACAGACACAGACACAGACACAGACACACACACACACATACATAGCATCAGCCTCAGTTCTGATGGTCAGCAGAGTTATATGTGTGTATACTTTGTGTTCGGCAGTCGTCTCGTGTTTTTCTCTTCTTTCTTTGCATGAATTCTTTTTCATGTTTACATGGTTTTTTTTGGGTTCATTATACAGCTTCACTCACAATGAACAGAGGTCGTTCACCCCGGATCAATCATACAAACAAACAGACTTCCTTTTACTGACTAACCTCATACTGGTCACCAGCACACAGTCTTGCAAATCCAGCCAGACCTGAAAGACAGATTGAGACAGATGCAGTTGATCAGCGTCAGGAAACCCCCACCAGGACTGCCGGAAACTTTCTAGGTTATTTCGTATTCTGCAAGTGTCTGGATTATTCTTACCCTCACCCCAGAAGTAATAATAACCAAATCATACGATTCAATTATGGCATGGAAAGAATTTAAAACAACTGTGTTTTTGTGTTGCATGCTTAAAGAAGGCAAAAACAAATGTAAGAAAAGAAGAAATTTAAATCACATCTGTAAAGGGACATTTCTTACCTTTCATCTTAATATGAAACTCCCCCAGCTGGTTCTCCAACTCATTCTCCAACACACACATGTTCTACAGAGAGAGGGGACAGTTTAACAAACAGGTCTGAACTACAGAGCTGTTGTTTACACATTATCCCGCTAGTTATGAATTGTTATATCCTGATTGTCTGCATCCATATGAAAACAGATCAAAACAAAATACAATAAATTACTCCTACAAGAGTTTGAGAAAGCTGCTGAGCTCAGACTTCAGTCTTTAAAAGAATTGTAATCTGTACAATGAGATCCACCAAATGTACGATGTGGTGAAGACATGCAGGTGGCCGGGGAAGAACACTATCAGGCCACGAGGGATTGTTGTTTGCATCTTGAATGTACTCCAAGAAAAGAAATCACTGCAAGCTAAAAACACCAAGTAGATGTATTTCTACTGTAGAGGAACATATCCAAATAAAACCCCAAATCAAAGTGAGCATATCTCAAAACCTTAAAATGCACTGAGTACTGGGGCGCAGTGGTTATTGCCACATGTATGGAGGCTGTAGTCCTCCAAGCGGACGACCAAGGTTCACATCCCACCTGTGGCTCCTTTCCCTCATGTCATTCCCTACTCTCTCTCTCTCCCTGATTTCTGACTCTATCCACTGTCCTATCTCTCCAATAAAGGCACAAAAATGCCAAAAAATGCACAGAATATGAATCATATCTGGTGTTTTTTGTTTTAATTATGAAAATATTTAAATGCTTAAATCAACTATTAGGGTTTATTATCGTGCATTAACATTTGGCTCAGGTTATTCAGATTTTAAGGATAAGAAGCATTTGGTCATACATCTAGAAAATACATCAGGATAAGCACAGATATCAACGAGGCGCAGGTACAATGGAGCTATCCTAGGGCTTTTATGGTTAATGTATCTGTACCTGGTCATGCATTGGCTCTGTTCTCCAACAAGGATCACAATATGTTTACCATTTTTCTCTACTCAATCTAAATCCATTTCTCACTCCAGCCCACCTCTCCCCTGTCTCCTACTTTTTACCTCTGTGTACTCTTTGTATCCTTTGTTGGCTTCTGTTAAACTCTCCTTGGCCTCCTTGCTGACCGGAGAGGCCGTGAACGCCTTCACCATCTTGTTGGCTCCATCCCTGAGTCTCCTCTGCAGGCAGTATGCTTCATATAGCTCCTCAATCTGGGAGAAACAGGAGGAAAAAGGTTCTCAGTGAAAACATCCTCATAGCAAGAGGAACGCAGAAAATGTAAGTTAGTACGAGGCAGGAACTGGACAGGAAGCCAGTCAATCAGCGACTCCGGAAGCCAAGTCTGAATAATGTTTGAATATCACACCACTGCTAGAGCTGGCTGCTCGGGATATGCCATGTTCTAAAACACAACAATCGATAAAACACGCACATAAAAAACAAATAGAGATGGGCAAAAAAAATCACTTGAAAGAGAAAGAGGGCTCACACCCCGCAGAGCTCCAATCCTCCAGAAACCTCACCCTGGTGAAATACATTTCTGGAATATTGGAGCCCTGCAGTGTCAGCAAATTTATAACTGTATGAAGTTCAATGTTAGAAATACATCCTCACTGTTTGATCTGGCCTATAATATAACTGCTTATGCTTCTAATGAACCCAATGCTGGTTATCATTGTTATTGTGTTGAATTAACCTTTTGGTTAAAGGTACAGGAAGGAAAACAATGTTAATATGTGTTTATAATATAGTATGTGATTCCTGCTCCACCTCAGCTATCTCTATAAACTACTAATGACAGTCATTGGTCTTTCTACTGAGGTGCCTTCTTCCCTTTGGTTAAGTAGTGCTGTATTCTTGATGAAACATGTAAATTAAAAAAGAGACAAGAAACAGAACATTTGTGTGCGGTGCCCATTTCAACCAGAAATCTACATAAAACCAGTTGAGCTGTAACCAGTTTCAACATCGATCATCTTTGAGGTTGTGTCAACAGAATTGCTTCTCTGTGTCTTAGAAACTAGTGAAAAAAGGAGCAGGGCAGGTATTTAGTTCTTGAGTTAAGGTTAAAATGTAAAGGGAGTTCATAAGGTAGGTGTGTGCAGTACAGCAGTCATGCAGTTTTGTATGGAAGCTCAAAAAGGCAAGCTTTTAAAGTAAGCAAGTAGTCCTTTACTAATTGTTAATGAAAGTAAGAAATATTGTAAAAGGGTCCACACCTCTGCAACATTTCCAACAGATTTGGTTTTAAATCACCCTCAGGGATGTGAGAGACTTTGTTAGACAGCGTTGCTGGTCGTCTTACCTTGCTGAGATGAAACTCCAGGCGTCGAATGTACCGCTCAGTCACCTTCACTTGCTGTTAGAGGGAGCACAAAGTCACATCAAATTGTTGCTGTTAAAACTAACAGAAATATTTTGCATGCAGCCTGTCATAGCGTCACCCAATTATATTTGACCTTCCCCTTTAAGAAATAACAGTGGCTTACCTTGTCCAGTTCATACAGGAAACCCTGAGGATGAAGAAAACAGAAATCAGTAATATATTTCTAGGATTTCAGTAAAGTTGCAGAAAAATGTGGGCTACACTCCTCATGCTTAATATATTTAGTTTGTTATTTATCAGCCAGAGATGAATACACCAGAGAAGATGACAGATCTGGAGACTCATTCAGCCAATTCATTTATTGGTTAATAATTTAAACATTTTAAAAGGAACTTTTTGAAAACGTTTGGTTGAGGAGGACAGAGTTTTATTTAAGGAAGTGATTAAATGAATACTATTTAGAAAAGATCCCCATAATAGGGGTTTCATTTTAGAAAGAAGAACAATCTGGCCAAGCAGCAACATATTGAGGTATTTATTTCCACAGAGATGCCCCTTTTCTACAAATCTTTTCACATCAAGTCATAATATTATGTAATAAATCAAGATTTTAATAATTCCAGTGAAATAAATAGTGTGATGATCAAAAACAATCATATCCACTAATTCTGACTGATATCACAATCATAATATCTGTCACAATGATTGCATGAAACTTTTTGTCCTATATTGTGCAGCCCTTGTAGGATATACCAAACATAGAACGTACCAGTCTGGAGTTCCTCTTGGATTCTTTCATCTGTCTGCTGAGGCCGTCCAGGTCTGTTTGATAAACCTGGAGGTACGACCTGAGAGAACATGTATTGATTTCATTTATATTTGTGTATGGACAAGTCTTAGCATGAATAACACACAACACACACTGACAGCCTAAGCTATTTTGCAATAGTTAACCCTTCATGGGCCTTAAACATATAAAAACATTAAGAAAAAACAAAACAAGAGACAGTACAATCCAGAGTCAATAATGTCACAGACTAAAAATACATTGTACAAAACAGCACAAATGCAAATAACGACATCAGTTTAACATATGTCCTTTATAGTATCTAACCACACTCATATATTTGGCTTAACAAACCAAGGTCTTAGAAAAATGATCTTAGAATATTCCTTGGCATTACTTGACGACCCTGAAGGCCCCCACACTGCTGCTCACCACAGAGTCCCCACTTTAAGATATTTCATAAGTCAGTGGCCCTTCCTCCAATTCTTTGACATTATCCTAAGCTAAGTTAATCAAATGCTGTCTTTGTTGAACATGACAGATATCCTGAGTGCTGTAGAGCAGTGGTTGTCAACTGGTAGGTCGGAACCCAAAAGTGGGTTGTGGAGCCTTTTTTTCTGTGGATCGTGAACGTGTGCCTGGATCACTTTTTAAACGTTTGTTTTGTTTGATCTTTTTGTTCTGTCTTTTGTGGCAGAACTGAGGTCCAAACTGCACTATTTCTAATCAAATAAAGATTATTGGTTAAAAAATATCCGGAAAATTGTGTCACAATTTCTCATTAAAGGGTTGGTGGTGGGTCTTGAGGCTGGACCCATTGAGAACCACTGTTGTAGATATGTCATATATGAAGAGTTGGACATAGACAGGAATTATAAGACTAAACTTTCCTGTTACCAAATAAGTTTAAGTGCTTCAAGCCTTTTGTAAGCATTAACGTCACTTGTCACCACTTTCCCTGATTTCCTTTTGCTTTTTGTGTCAGACAGACTCACAGACAACCAATTCAAGACCAATGTTCTGTTATTTTCTCTCAGTCAGGAAGATTTATTTTCAGTTGAAAGAGGATGAACGCACAACTACGATCAAGTAGTGCTGACCAAGATAAGAGCTCAGGTGTTGAGAAAAGGAGTTAAAAAAAACGTGTAACTTTTCTCAAAGCAGATATGTTTGTTATATAAAGTATTTACCAATATCAACATTTCACATTCTCCATCGCTGACTGATTTAAATATTTAACCAATTCCTTGAAGAGGACTGTTATAATGAAAATTGTTTTCTCCACTGGATCAGGAAAAATTGAAAGGATCCCAGATCATTGAACTTGTGATTTGCTGAAATGAAAGTAAAAAGCTCTGTGTTTATGCTTTTGCATTTGTTCTTGCCAATAAAGCCTTTGGGGTCATGAGTGCAGCATGAAAGACGTGAGCCCTTAGCTGAAAGATTAGAGTTGCTATTTGTGTCTACGGTACAACGGTGTATTGTGAGAGTACTCACTGAAGGCCCTTCTTCAGCGCCTCGTAGACCTGGTCTAGGCGCTCTGGTTGAGGAACTTTGGGTGGTGGGTTGGACTTGCTGGACGTGTTGAACATCCTGCTGGCTCTGCTGGGTTTCCTGCTCAGACCTGGAGTGCTGAACACTGAGAGGTTCCTGCAACATCAGGTTTAGAGAAAAGTATTCTTTAAATATCGATATATATCCCAGTTGTCCTCAACTCTGTCCGTATTTATTTATGGTTTATCTGATAGGGACAGATACAATATACATAGACAAACTGAAAACAGCAATCCAATGCAAGACTCATAGTGTTTATAGCAGGTGCTAATTTGCAAGACTTTTCCTACAAAGGGCTTTTGTGTGGATAAAAATAAAAAGAGTTAAAAAGGAGAAAGAAGAGTAAACTGGGTACACTAGGATACAGATAAAATACATATTTAGCCTTTGTACCAACAGCTAAACATGAGTACAAGTCTGCTGCTGAACTAACCAGGACTTGGTGGCTCTCTTCTGTTATATTTTAAGACAATTCTTCGAAACAAAGATGCTTTCAGCACATTGTCTCCCATGCAACTTATTCACTTTAGAACAGAATTCCTCTTGATCTAAAGCAACATATGTTCATTTAATATAAGCATATTGTTTTGTTATTACTAGCACAAGAGGACTGCATTTAAAAACAGCTGGGGGGTTAAAAATAGGAGGATAACTGGCCAAAGAAATACAATTAGAGAGAACTTTTTTTTTTTTTTTTTTAAAACAATCCCAAAATAAGTGCAACAACTATTTCATATATGATAAGCAATGAAACCAAGTACAATGACTAACTACATTCAAAGAAAGCCGGACTGAGAAGGATGGGGTGGGAGGCAAATAAACAAACAATGAATGAACTGGCTGTTAAATAATACAACAGAGGATCACTACTCCATTCATAATTTTTATTGTCAATTAAGTAGTTTTAATTCAATTTTTTTTATAAAGATGCAAAGAAAATAAATGGATGCAGTTATGTATCGTCATAAAGAGAAACAATTGTTGTTTTTAAAGGCTTAGTGATAATGAACCATAATGACTTATTTTTCAGTCAGACTGTCTGTCTTTGGAGCTCCACCTGACAGGATGTCCTGTGAAATTCCCCACAGCATGTATATGAGAGTGTGTGTGTGTTGGTGTGTGTGTTCAGGGCAGTGTGGGTGTGTACCTGTAGGCCTTGTCGTAAGTGTTGACTCCAGTGAAGCTCTGGCTCCTAGTGATGGATCTGGAGGTGAGGCGCCTGGTGGGGCGAACGGACAGCGACATGGTGGAGAGGGTTCGGGATGGACTCCCTGTTCAGAGAACAAGACAAATACTATCAATACACAGAACATCAGCCATGTTTTTCTGTCATTCAACTCGAACCTAAAGATACAGGCATTGAATTACCACCAGGAAATAAAATACCTTCTGTGCCTCGATGTTAATATTAAGAATGTACCTTTAACAACAAGGCGGCTAAGATGCTTCTGTACCTGTGATGAGTTCATTTTATTGAGCTAAATATCCCCGAGTAGGAATCAACAATGGAAGGGTCAATTATGAAGAACTGAAAACTTTTATCGCAAATATAACTTACTTAAGCATCTTACTCTTTAACTCAAAAGTATTTCCCTCTGTGGCTCCTCCCAAGTACTGCTATGAGACACAATAACAACCTGATGCCTAAGTGGTATAAAACTAGCTCTTTTAGTGGATATACAAAACATGATCAGACAGATTTGCCCTGAAATGTTGCCACCATTATTACCTTGTGAAGGTGAGTCACTGGGGACGTATCAATCATTTTAATTCCCTTTGATTAGAGATACCAAATTACGAAACTAATAAACCTACAATCATTCTTACACTGAGAAATGTGAAAATATCTCTCATTTTTAACTTTGTCAGTAAGAGTTAAAGTATCTCCTTTTGTTTTCACAGAAGGCCAAAGTTTCACTTTAAGCAGTTTGTTATATAAGACTTATTGTAAGCCTTGTTTTCCCTCCATACTGTATGTTTACATCATAAATCATTTGACTAACTTCTCAATATGAAGGGGTAAAAATCTATAAAATGTTGTTTAAAACAGAAAGAGTCCTGTTCTCTATGTTCATCTATGACTCATTTCCAACCGAAACACTGAAAGATACTGTGATTTATCTTATCGTGTTACAATGATGTATCACTAAACATCTCCCCAATGATTAGCTCCTTCTCTGTACTCTGTAGCAGCTGTTTAGTACTGAACAGCACATACAGATACAGCCTATCTGACTCTGTGTGTTTTTAGTTTACTCAAGGTTAAATGGCTTATCAAGTGTGAGAAAACAGCCTGTTTTTGTAGCTTCAGAGTTTCACATTCACCAGTTTAAATAACTGATGTGCTGTCGAACTCACCACTAAACGCACCACTCAGTTTTACATTTGAAAGCTTAGCGATGTGGTATTGAGTTTGATTAAGTGACATGATGTCTTTGCCAATCCTCTATCACTACGTGTCAGGAATTTAAACACAAGATATGTATACATCTCAATAAGGAGCTCCAGTAACGGCTGCATGCGGATTTAATAAAATAAAGTTAAAGGCAATGAAGTCAGTTGGGTGTTATATTTCTATTGTATAAAATCATGAATGTAGCAGGTGGTATAAGTCAACTGGGTACTAGAATCTTTTTGTTTTTAATACTGTCAATGATATCAGTTTCTACAGACAGCTCTGCTGTGAAACATAGAGGATGAATGGTGGGAAATGACCACACATTCCTTTTTCTGAATAAAGTACGCCACAGGTCAGACCTACTGTGCGGTTATTGGCTAGGAGAAGCCAAAGGTCCAACAAATAGCTTCCACCAAATAGACTGTGTTCATGTCCCATATGAAACCAGCTGTTAATCTTGACCCAACATGTAACACAACATGGTATTTTCCAAAAACCTATCCAAGTCATTTTGGTACCCAAATCTACTGAGCACCTGAAGGCTCAGGTAACTCAAAAATAAAAAGCTGTTTGTGAATTTGTTACCACAGTTTACACATCTGTGTGCAAAAGAATAAACTCTGTTTTAAGCCTGGCTCACACTGCAGGATAATCTGGCCGATTTGAGCTCCGATTATTCCTTCCCGACAATCGCAGAGTCTCTCCCGACTCAATGGCTGCTCGGAACCGATTATCTGCCCAGATTATCTTGTAGTGTGAGTGGTACAAAGATCCAATCTTAACGTCCCCAATCTATGGTTCTAATCTTCAGAGTAGATTCTTATTCAGCTCTGATGAAAGTCCATTTGGTCTCTCTGACTTCTGACAAACATGTGAAGTCTGTGGCCTGAAGCTGTGATTTGTTGTTGTGGCTTATGTCAGCGGTTAATTTCTGTCAGCTGAGGCAGTGTGTTTTCCTACTCTGAAATATCCACTGTCCTGTATCCTGTTTCTTCAAACAGCTGAAAGACCTTTGTGAGATGACTGCCAACCCGCCCTCTCCCTCCCTCCCCCCGACAGCACAGGAAATGTCACAATCCTACAGGAAGTCAGAAGCAACTGCCTCTCCTGACAGGAAATTTAACAAAGGCAGATAGTCCTGAAGTCTGCAGTCATCGGGCTGAAGAGAAAAGGTCAACTCTACCCGAGTTCAGCTCGGGCACAATGGATGGAAAAAGTACTTTAAGCAGAAGTATTTTTTTGTGAAATCAAATTACAAAATCAAACCTTCCTTTTGACTTTAAACACATTTAAACAAGGACACCATGAAGAAAGTAATTATTTTAAAATGGCTAAGTTTTAAAAATAGAGACGGTTAAGTTCAACCCTTGAAAATCATTAGGAATGTCTGTGTGTGTGTGTGTGTGTGTGTGTGTGTGTGTGTGTGTGTGTGTGTGTGTGTGTGTGTGTTGCTGTTGGACTGTGTGGTCAAGCTCTTGTTGGCTTAACCTAGTTAAAGTCTTCTCATAGATTACAGAGGAGCTAACAGGCAGTGAGAGATAAAGGAAGACAACAAATAAACGTAGCCTGCCAGAGGAGCAGAGTGGACATGGAGAGCAAGTGGAAAAGTTGACGATCAATGGGTCCATCTCATTCAGACACTTTCCTCTTTCACTTCCCGATAAATCGTCTTGTTGTGTTGTCATAACAGTTCTCCGTCTCCATGAGGAACTTCCAGGTAACAAGTGATGACTTTGAAGTCGAAACATGACAACAGTCAATTGTTTCTGCTCAGATAAAAGTCCATACAAAACAGTTTTATCTTAAATCAATGAGTTATTTTATCAGTAAACACAGACCGATGAAGGGAAACTTTGCTATTAATGGAGTCAAGCACCAAATGATGGCCCCACAGCACAACAGTGAGCCTGATTTACTGGCCATTATTTTGGATTTGTAATTTTTGTATTTACACTGCTTTACTGCACATTCACTGTAAATGCCTCTGTTGTGGGAGAAATAAATGATTCTCTTATCTTATCTTCCCCAATGCAACATGTTATATTCTAATCCCTTATCAGTTTGGTAAACATATATCATCTTGTATTTAAATGATGTTTGATTATGTCAAGTTATAAGTAATAAGGTAATAATTTAACCATCTCGTGCTCATGACACTATGAGCTGTATTAGTTCATGGTTTGTTTGTGATTGTTTTTTTCTTTACTGATGTTGTACATTTGATTGATCTTGTACTTTTTGTCTTGTTTTCTTTTTTATGGAGCCCAGGATGAATGTGGATCCAATGTAAATAAATAAATACCACAACATCCTAAACACTTAAAGCTAATAAAAAAATTGAAAGCAGAAAAAGATGGGTCGCTTGCTTATGTAAAAAAATGTTTTAAAAATTTGATTTTTTTGGTCAGTAATGCAGTCATAAGTTTTTAAAATCATATGACTGAATAATACCTTTGATTTATAGCCCAGCCATTTAAGACTTTCAAAAGAAAATGAGATAAACAATCAGATTAATGTTACACTTCATTAATCACCTCTTAATAAAGAGGTGATTACATGTTTCCTCTCTGTTATGGACACATGCCACACACACAAACATAGGCTATAAGAGTTTAGGGGGCTTAACACGGACAAGCAACCCGAGCAGTTGGCGATTTAGTGCCTTGCTCAAGAGCACCATGGCAGCATCAAGGAAGAGAACTGGCACCTCTCCAGGAAAAAGTCTTAATTTTCATACATGGTCAGTACCAGGAATTGGACTGGGTACCCGCCAATTCTCAAGCCAAATCCATACAGACTGAGCAACTGCCACCCAAGCCTAACAGTTGTATGACTCTTTACACTTCACCCTCTTAGGTCTCCTCATTATCATTAATGAAGTTTTTGTTGACTCAACATACAACACAAACTTCTCAGCTTCTTCTCAGAGTCAAAGCTATAGCCACCAGGCATGCTGTTGATATCAGAGAAAGCAGACAGAGAGCATCTGTTGCAGACTATCAGTAGTTTTTTTCTTTTTTTCAGTCTGAGATACCCTGGCATCGATCCTAGCTGAGCTGTGCGTGACCTAGCTAACAAGTCGACAAACCAGGCACCGGTCAGCCTCAAGAAGCTGGAAGCGACACTAAAGACAATGAGGACACAGTTACTGGAGAAGGCAGTGAAATGAACCGAGCTCTCCAGGTGATGATACCAATCAAGAAGGTGTTTGGTTTTCAGCTAATGTTTCCTTATTATTGACTGATTTTCCTTGGTTGTGTTTACCAAACCCAAATAATCCTGTGGTCACACTTGAGTGAGTAAAGTACTGAAGGAAAGTAAGACCAGTTATTTGAACTTAATAGATACTATTAAATGAGCCCAGCACATTCATTCAATGGTAAATAAAAAATCATCTACAGGAACCTGCTGGAAACCAGTTTTTAAACTGAGTCAGGCCTGCTAAACTGTAACTTAATGTTACTTTTAAACTTTCCTGTACAATAATCTGTGTCATCTGCCGCATTTCTCTTGCTTTCAAAAACGCACTGGACTAGAAACGTGTGTTATTAGCAGAAGTGCACCCCTCAATCCAAATCAAACCAAACACTAACCGTGATGGGACTCCACGTCTCTGTCAGAGTCGTCCGTGTTCAGACAGGGCAGTGGTAGTCGGCACATTTTTTCCCTGACACACCCCACTGTCCTCTTGTGCTCAACCTTGTTAATAAAGTTTTGTGATCTAATCAGCCAGTGTTAAATTAAGTTCAAAGATCCGTTCAAACTCCAACAAGCTCATCCAGAAGTCAGCCAGTTAAAATCCATCAAACTGAAATTGTCTGTCAAACTGAGCAGTGTTGAGTTTTTCCTACCTGATCCAAACAGT